TCATGCATGCACCTGGACAAGAACATGTTGATGCAGTCCACAGAATTCTCAAATACCTAAAGGGAACCCCTGGAAGAGGTCTACTATTCAAAAATCGCGGACATTTACAGGTTGAAGCCTATACTGATGCGGACTGGCCGGAAGTACTCTTGATAGGCGATCAACTTCTGGCTACTGCACATTTGTTGAAGGCAATCTTGTCACCTGGCAGAGTAAGAAGCAAAATGTGGTAGCTAGAAGTAGCGCAGAGGCCGAGTTTAGATCAGTTGCTAATGGAATTTGTGAGGTGTTGTGGATTAAAGACCTCTAATCCATTGCCCATGAAAGTGTACTGTGACAATAAGGCTGCTATCTCAATCGCTCACAATCCAGTACTTCATGATAGAACAAAGCACGTGAAGGTAGACAAACACTTCCTCAAGGGAAAGATCGAAAATGGATTTATATGTATGCCGTACATTCCTACCACCGAGCTAGTTCCAGATGTGCTTACAAAAGGACTTCTACAAAACAGTTTGACATACTAATTGGCAAGCTGGCTACAGAAGATATCTTCAAACCAGCTTGAGGAGTGCTGAAATGAAAGATTAGGTAGTAATATTACCAAATATTAGGAGATTTAATAGTTGTAAATATTTGTTGTTAATAGAATATTAGTCAATCCTGTAAAATAGGAAATTAGTTAGGCCAACTAGCTATTGTAATCTTTTTCCTGATTTCTTGCTTGTATTTTCTCCTATAAAGAGAACCCCTATAATCCTATGATTAAGTACAGTTAATAAAGAAAAATCAATTCTATATTTTCTCATCTCTTTCATGTTTACAGTTAGTAACTGAAACAGAGTGTTATATCCAGTAAACATGATTGGCAAATGCCCTTGCAAGGATAATCTAGCATACGCGATGGCAACTTTTTCTCCAGTTAATTAACATAAAAAAAAAAAAATCACTACACAACACAGTCAGATCCTTGTTTCTTAGTCTTGAGATAAAATGGCTTTAAATTTTCTAGATTTCTCTAAAATGTCATTTTCTACGATTTTTGTAAAATCCTGAGTATTAGTTATTTCTAAGTGTTTCAAATTGCACTTTTCACTGAAGAAATAGAAAAAATATAACCTAAAAATTGTATGACATTAAGTGTTAATATTGCAACAACATTAACAAATTCACTCCAACTGAATTATCCAAATAACACATTTCCATCTTGTGTCAAATTATATATTCCATGATTTTATTCTTTAGTGTTGGTCTCATATGCGGTGGGATCAAAGATATAATGTCATGAACCCAGCGCGTATAGGTGACTAATAGATTTCAAACCCATGCCAGATTGCAACACCATAGATTTCTCAATGATCAAATACAAAATAGCTTGCACAATTCCATCTCAAGCAAGAGATAAGTGTTGGCAGCAGGTCGATTGAAATGAGATTCTCAAAAGCAATATAACATCGAGGGGTTGCTCAATTGGTCAAGTCTTGGGTTTGCTCCCCAATGGTCACCAGTTCGAGTCCCCTCAAGACCATTGAGGTGAGTTCTCAACCATAAACTTCAGGACTCCGTGGGATTAGTTGAGGTGCGCGCAAGCTGACCCGAACATCCACAGTTATCAAAAAAAAAAAAAAAAAA